CAAAATGTAATGTTCATGAGTACTGTTGGGCTGTCAAAGATCCTTTCTGTTTAACTTTCTATATTTCTTTTAATTGATGAAAGGTATCATGGTGTTAGTCATCTTTCTGTGTTTCAGTTTGCAGTGATTCTTGGGTTTCTCTTCCTGGTTGAGCTTGGAGGTTCTATTACTGGATATGTCTTCAGGGAAAAAGTAATATTTTCAATGTGCTTGGCAATAATTTATGCAATACTGATACATAAGAACTCTTTTCACCTTCCTCTAGGCAACAGACATTCATAAGATTTTGGAGGTGGTTAGTTTTGAGAATGATTGACCCAGCATATTATTTTGGCACTAAGGAACAAATAGTGGAGTATATTCTGCCTCCTATGGCAGAATGTCTTGTTCATAATCATGGAGGTCTTTGATATTTGCAGATTAAGAGTGGTTTCAGTGAGGGATTGAGTGTTGCATTGGATGAATACAGACAGGATGGATTTAAAAAGGCTTGGGATGGACTGCAGTCAAAAGTGAGTAAACATTTTACCATAATGTTTATGCTGCACTTTAACCTAAACATTTTTGCATGAAATCTTTACCAAACATGTTATGTCTTAACAGTCAATGTTTTAAGCAATTGACAAGTGAACTGTGAGACAATAGAAGGACACAAATGACTGACTGACCTTTTTGTACTCTAATAACCCTGTGATTGATCAACAAATAATTAACAAATTGACTGCAATTTTTCATGGTTTGTAACTTTATTGATCATGGTAGTGACATCAACAATGTTTAAAACTAAAATGAAACCATGAGGCACAGGTAAACTTTTTTAGATTTTTTTGCCAGCTAAGGTGCCAAAATTTTCAGGAAATCATTCGGGAATGACATAATTATTGTTGAATTGTTATTTCTGCTGTTGTTGTTGTTGTTGTTGTTTTAAGTTGTGTTATTCAATGAGTTTTACAATTGAATACCACTAAGAAATGGATGGCAATAGACTCTGGTTGCCATTAATTCAAACATGTCATGCAGTGACCAGCAAAAAGTGTAATGAATCTCTCTCAAACAGTTAATATACTTTGACTTGTGATCATTGTCAAAATGGCAAACTGCTACTTCTTGAGTATACATCTGTCAATAAATAATTTTTCTTTTGAACCATATGCAAGGAAGCCAACACATGTATCATTTTCAAGTTTGATACTTTCAACCAATCCTTCATCATAATGTTCTTCTTCTGATGCAGACATAAAATTTTCCATTCTTAGCAAGGAAAAAGATGGGATCTATTATGATTGAAAGATAGCCTTTCCTCCTGAATTGCAAGAATATGTGTAAGGACAATCAAAAACCTGTAGATTGAAGTTACGGTGTTGATGTGTTCTTGTTTGTCACATTTTTATACCAATACAAAATGCATTGTGACAATTTTCTTTTGCTTATTGTCCAAAAGCAAACAATACCTTCAATTATGAACATTTTGCCTTTAATCTCTTAAGCACAAAGCAAGGATTTGAGGCAAATTTGAAAGGCATTATACCTCTAAAATAAGGTATAAGTTAACCACCTTACGTATGCAAACGGCAAATTACAAGAATTAAACTTTGTCGTCTGCCTTTCAGCTTTAAGAGCGATAATATGAAAATATCTGTGTTTGTTGTAATTAGAAGATATTTGTGTATTTCTCAGTTGGGTCTATTGGATAAGAAGAAAAGTAGGTGAAATTGCCGTTTGCATTTGCTGTGAACTTGGTTAAAAATCTTGTCCATTTCTTTCACTCACTCTCTGCATCATATTCTTTTAGACAAGCATTCCAAAACAAAATTCTTCCATTTTTTTCTCTCTCCAAATGATTTAAGTTTATTTACTAAAGGTTTTCTCTTTTCTCTTTTAACTAGAAACTAGTGATTAATGCTTTCAAATCCTGCTTAAAGTCTTAACTTGTCGTGCCCAGTTACACTTAACACTATCAACACCAGCGTCATGGTAACCAATGGGAGACTGAAATGTGATTGGTTTTCCTGCGATAACAACAAGCGAGTCATAGAAGAGATAAATCTCCATTGATCACAATTGTTGATTGCATGTTGTGTGTAGCTTTCTTATATTTTATTGCCCAAAAGTTTTACTATTTCTTTGTCAGAGATGTAACAGGATTGCACACCAAAAACTTTAAACATGGATCCAAATTGCACTATAGGTCAAGGGGTTTTGAATAATAAGGAGAAATGAAACACAATAGACAATATGTAAACAACAGAAGTTTGGAGTTCATTAGCAAAAATGGCTCAAGAGTGCACCTGTCTCACAAACACTTCCTCCATCAATTGCTTTTTTTCAGAGTTGTAAAAATGTGTCAAGAGCTGTCAGACTCAAAGCTATTTATTTTGTTAGATTGGACTTTTTTAAATTTCGATTGTGATTTATCCCTCTATGCACAAAATCCAGGGGTAAAACCCATTCCTGAATGATACACTTAAATCAACATGAAGTTGTAATGGCTTCCCTTTTTGTTGAGTCTTAGGATTTCAAAAATTAACTTAGCCCCTCAAATATTGAATCTAAATGCATTAAGCATCTAATGATGAACACTGTCATTTTAAAACTATGTACAGTTATTTTTTAGTAACCTGGCAACATAGATGCATAACAACCCATAATTGATTCACAATCAGTTTCTTCTCTGCTCATCTCAATAAGTCATTAAATCAGTCCAGAATGCCTTGTTTGTTTAGCTTGCCAAGTACTGAAAAAAAAAAGGGTGTGAGACTGTGAAGTCAAAGGTTACTGACCAGATTGCTGAGCAATAATCTATTGAAAATGGAGACATGGTTGTCAGATTTTTTTAGCCAGACAATATTTGAAAGGCTATGTTACTCTTAAAAATCTCAGAAGGCAGACAGTGTTTCATGTGTATATGTTAATGTTATCCATTATAATCTAACATATGTTGCATCTGAAACATACTTTTCTTTAAAGGAGGGAATTGAAATAAATCAAGTACAAAGTCTTGTGTGCTCTGTGACAAATAAAAAGTCTGTCTGAAAGTCTCAAACTGATATGTTTTCTTTCAGCTTGAATGTTGTGGTAATAAAAATTATTCAGACTGGTTCTACAAAGAATGGACTACAGATGAAACATACAACAATTCAGTGCCCCATTCTTGCTGTATCAAAGATGAAGTCAGCTGTAACATTAATGTTACAAACCACCCAGCCACAGTCTATTCAACAGAGGTAATTAGTGCTAAATATGCACTAACATTTCTCATTAATGGTTGACAAAGTTCTTTTTTTAACCCTTTAAGCCCCAAGTAAGCATATTCTCCACACTGTCCTTGAGACATTTCAAATGGTATTGATAAGGATATCTTGTGTAACAATCATAAGCTTTTTCACTTGGAGATTATTTCCTTTATCTTCATGACCTTAATGTTTGATTCAGAATTATAAAATAATTCAAATAGTATGTGCGCTCTGATTGGCCATAAAACCATTTTACATGAGTGTATGTAAACGTGGTTTTCGTTCCTCTTTCATTAGTTATTTTATAAAAGAAATGTAAAATGGTTTCCATGTTTACATAGCCTGATGTAAACACTTGGGAGGTTGGGAGAACACTTGATAAGCTGGAAACCACTCCGCTTCGCATCATGGTTTCCTACGCTTATCTTGTGTTCTCCCAACCTCCCGTGTGTTTACATCAGGCTATGTAAACATGGAAACCATTTTACATTTCTTCAGTAATACTGTAGGGGGAAATGAGATGCTGGTCATTCTTGGGGATTAAAGGGTTATTTGGAGAAGAGTACCAAATCAAAGGCTCCTTAGAGCTATCTCAACATATGTCATAGGGTAAGCTCAGAAAATCACCACAAATCATGTAATAACTTTAAATCTTCCTTATTTTCCTTGATACTTGATTTAGAATTGAATCATTAGAACAGAATAGGAATGTGATGGTTTGTGACATAAAATGTAGAATTGATACCATGAGTTAGAGTAACCAAAGCAATCAAACCTTATTTGTGGCACCGATTTTAGTTTATAGACTAAAAAGTTCTCAGCTCAGGTTAGTCAAATTACTAGCTCAGGTTAGTGCATTTTCTTCTTCCAAGATTTTACTAAAACCTAGTTGAAATACAACATATTCACAGCTTAAATCACTGTTTGAATCAAGGGGTTATTTTGGGTGAAGTGGGCATTTAATGCTTTTAAGTACTGTTACTTCAGTTCTGACAAAGGAATATAACTTGATGCATCAATGTCTGGAATGCATGTTGCACAAAATTTGAGTTAAAGAGAATCTCTTTTTACAATATCAATACAATGTCAAGCAGACAAGAGATGAGAAAAAAAGAAAAATATTAATTAAGAGATTATTCGTTCATGCAATACCAAATTCAAGAGTTTTATAGTAGACAGTAAGGAGAATTACTGATGAGAACTTGGGAGCAAAAAGGTTAAGTCATTTGTATCTGTAACAAATGAGAGCATTGACATCAACCTACCATAAGACAAGTTAGTTATCATAGTCATTTGATCTCTGATCTGATCTGCGATCCACTCAAAGTTTTGTCAATGCCAGTCAAGCAATCACGCCTGCAGGCTTTTGAAGGATATTTAACAAATATTTCATGAGTGGATGCTAGATATGAGTTGGCTTTAACCAATCTCATATCCAATGAGTGCAAATGGAATGGCTGTTTCATCAAATTAAATTATCCACAATGTTTGACAGAGGTGTTTGTTTTCATCCATATGTAATTCTAGCTTAACAACACTTGGGTAAATTGTTTCTAGATAAGGTGATTCAGTGTATGAACTGATAACTGGAGCTGAGTGAACCAATCAGAAAACTAGACATGCAGTATTTGAAGTTTGAAATTTAATAATTAGTTATGAAACCCCTAAAGGCAGCTGGTATGTCAGCTGATAATGTCTGCAGCTGAGAGATTGTGTGAAAAATGAATATTTGGCTAAGAAGCAATACTTTCAGGGCAAATTTAAAATGTTGAGGACAATCTCTCAACCAAGGACATTATCAGCTGACATCCCTGCAAGTCAGGAGGTTTATGTATTTTGTAACCCTTTCATTAATTTTAATATTGCACGTTGACAGCAAATTGTGTAGACTTTTTATGTTCTTTCTGGAACAGCACGTGAGATCAACATTATCACTAGACTCTTCAAAATTAGCTTGTTTTCCTTTATGTATTAAAAGAAATTGAGACAAAAAAGTGAAACTTGAGCCACAAACTTTTTTCTGACAGAAACAATTGGACAACAAATACTAAAGAAGTAGACAGGGGTTATTGAATGATAACTCCCTGGGGATTTTGCACCACATCATTTAAAGTATCCAATAGAATTGTGTGAAAATTAATGGCTGAGTTATTATTAATGATATTTAAGTAATTGTGGTATGGAACATGCAGGTGTTCTCTTATTTCTGCTGAGACATGAAAATATTAAATCAAACCTGAATATATTACAAAGGAATATCATTCTCTTAAATACCAACAGGGATGCTATGATGCTGCAGTTAACTTCTTTGAGGACAAGTTGTTAATCATTGGAGGTGTTACCCTAGGAATTGCTCTTTTTCAGGTAATCATTGACAGAAACACTTTCCAACATACTCCTATTGGCTGTGGAAACACAGTATAAGCGGTGTTAGGCACAAAATCAGAATTTGATCATATTTAGTACACTTTTTGATATGCCAGTTACTTAAACAATTTGGTTAAGCTTTATACATAAGTTAAAGAATTAAAGAGGACACATCAATTCTCTGTGACTCTGAGTTTTGTGCTTAAGCACTAGTCAGGCAGAACTTTTCAGAAAAGTTCTGTCTGACGAGTGCTTAGGTGCAAAACTCAGAGTCACAGAGAATCGATGCATCCTCTTTAATTCTTTAACTTATGTAGACTTAGCTCTGCTACCACAGCATTGAGCATTTCATGCCAAGGTAGACTCTACTCCCACATTCATTTATATATATATATATACATACATACATACATACATACATATATCATCTCATTGACTGTACATTTAGGAATGACACAGACAGGTTTGAAACCAAAGTTAAACTGAGAGGGAGCTAAATGGTCTCCAAATTATACAACTTCAGTTTCCAAAGTGGTGTCTTGAAATTATTGAAGCCTAGTGCCCCAAGAGTAAAGGAAACAATCAATTCTACCTGTAACTGAGAAATTTCCTCAGCCTATAGAAATTCCAATGTAATTATGGAAAGAAATCACAAGATGTCTACAACCTTTGATTTGTGTTGTTTGTGATCTTGGAGTGGCTTGTATGATGGTTTTAAAGACAGTTGATGTGGTCAGTGGAATCAGTGTTGTGTGATATTAAGCAAATTATCCTTTTCCTTCTTTTTTTTCATCAAAAGTGATAACTTTTGGTGATAAAAATTCATCATGTGAATACGACAGCGCTCTTTGCAGTAGTGAACACTACTTAAGCAGTAATGAAAAGAAGGCCTGAAAAAAATATAGGCCTGTATGGGATTTGAACCCATGACCTCTGTGATACTGGTGCAGTGCTCTAACAACTGAGCTAACAAGCCAACTGGGAACTGGTCACTGTGTTGGTTCCAAATAAACCCATGAAGTGGTGAATAAATGGCTGTGAATATATGAAAGTCATATATTTAAACTGCAGATAAGACGTGAATATGATAGCGATCTTCACAGCAATGAACACTACTTAAGCAGTAGTGAGAGGAGGGCCTGGAAAAAAAATTAAGGCCTGTATGGGATTTGAACCCATGACCTCTGCAATACTGGTGCAGTGTTCTACCAACTGAGCTAACAAGCCAACTGGGAACTGGTCACTGTGTTGGTTCCAAACAAATCTGTGAAGTGGTGAAAAAACGGATAAAGATGTGAATAACATAGTATCTTTTCACTACTGCATAAGTAGTGTTCATTACTGTGAAGATGGCTATCGTATTCACGTCTTTATCTGCAGTTCAAATATATGACTTTTATATATTCACAGCTGTTTAAAAGTTCATCATTATGCAAAATCCATCATTTTACATAGTCATTAATCACTTTGATCTTAACTTGGCACAATTTGCCCATAGAAAAATGTCACTACAATTTTAGTTATTCTACCTATTGGAAGGCCTGTACATATTTAAAAGCTACAAGAAAATAAGAGTTTTTCAGTTCAATCCTAAAGTATCAAAGTTGAAGAAAAATCATATTTTGGTTTCATAATTAAAAATGCCCTGCCTCAAGGCTTTTTTACTTTGTAGCAATGTATCATGGCCTAAGGGTTATTGTACTGATGTAGCTGATGTAAAATATAAATTGGATTCTTTACCAATTTCTAAGATATGATAGATTATATTACGTAACACTTTTCTTACTTTATTTCCAGCTTATTGGTGTGGGATTGTCATGTTGTTTGGCAAGCAGTATCCAGCATTCCAGTAAATATGAACTGGTTTAGTCAATTTCGTCATCCCACTTGAATTAATAAAATGAGAAGCCTGGGTTTATAATTCTGAATTATGGTAGAAAAGTGCACTCATGAAGTCTAAGGGTATCAGAGAAGCCCACTGAGGGGTAGATGCCTCACAATTTTGCATTGTCTTATGTTGTGACAATGTTGTTAAACCTACAGAAATGAGTGTTGGTGAAATGTTTATTCTTATCAAATGTTGTTGCAGCAAAAAGTTTGTTCTATGGTTTTTAACACCATCTATATGTACTTTGCATTATGCTGACCTTGTTTAAGTATAGTCTTGTGAGGTGGGGCTGGTTGGGAAAAATAAGTGGGATCATTAAAAAGTCACTGCCTTATCAGTAAAAATCTGGTAGTCATTTTTGAATAAACATCTGCTGCATCACCAGGAGAATGAAATGCAGGTTTTATAAATGAAAAAAAAATTTTTGTTGCTAATTTTAAGCTTTCAATATTTAAATAAATTACCTCCTCCACCTACATGTACTCTGTTTCCAATGGTTTTGTATTGTCATTGCCTACCTCAAATTTGCATGGCTGTGTCCTTTTTATTTAGTAATGGGAGAGAAGAAAATTAATCTTAAACCTTGGACAAATCTTGTTAGTAATAGTAGTTTAAATTACCCTAAGTTCCTCTGTCAGTGCTGGATAAAGAAAATTCCCAATTTTTACTTTATCAAGGTGTCAGAAAATATTGTACCTGGGTGAACAGAGGAAGCTTTCACAGAGACTGATACTTTGTGACTGTAGTTGTAGCTATAGGGCCAGGCTTACTATTCTTCTTATAGATAGTTATTTGATGTTACATTTTTCCTTGGTTGAGATTTGAATAACTCTTTAAGTGTGTACATACTTTTTTACCAAACTTCCCATTGCAATGTGGTAGAATACAAACATACCTAAGTTTTTTTTATTAGTTTTTGTAATTAGTTAGCAAATTTTGCTGCTTAACTTAGTTGCACACTAACACTGTTCTGTTCTGGTTGTTTTAATTTTAACAACTTTTACTGTCATTAAACATGAACATGTGTCTGGTGGTATTAATTTTTCTTTGAGGTGTCCCTTGAACTTTTATCAGCCCACAAGTGCATAGACAATTTATTGGGACAATGATGACAGAAGTAGAAATAATCAGAACTGTGCCCCTTGTATATGTAACACCCGAGCCAAATTTGAGGGAGAATCTCCTACATCTACTCTAGATCCAATGGCTGAAAGCAAAGGCTCTAGAAAGCAAAGGCTCCAGAAAGTAAAAGGCTCCATCTTTAATTGTACTGGGTGCAAATCCTCCCCAGAAACACAATGTCATATTACTGCTACTTTAATTTTATTTCTAACAAAAGCAATGAATCACCAATATTATGCCAAAACACCCTTTGGAAAAGAATAATTTGCTGCCCTTCTTTTGAGTAACTGAAAATGCATTTACATTTGTGACACTTTTTGTGTCAAAGAGTAGGGTCATACTAAAGATGTTTACATGTATCCCAGGAGCTTCAAAACTTTGAGCATAAGCTGTTGACTCTCTGATAGCTGTAAAACTAGACCCTGTGAGAAGGGTTACTGGGATACCTGGATGATACTGGATCCTTGGAATCAAGTGTAGTGATACTACAGGTGTCGGACTAGTATACTGAAATTGTAAGCTCAAGTCTGGCCAAGGGCATACACCTATTTCAAACATAGGCATGCTATGCATGCAAGAGTTATTTTTTGTAGGGTGGGTAGATTACTTGAAACATTGTAAGTGATCTACATTCTTACAAAAGGAAAGAAGAGTATTAACGCGGAAAAGAACGGAAATGTCGAATTACCTCGCACACAGGTATTTTGTGGTGGATTATGTGTTGTGCGAATAAATGTAACCAAAAATAAACTGTATTGGTACCACGGATACCTGTTAGTACAAAATGCAGACTGCAGACTGGGTACAAAATGCAGACTGAGAATCTGAAGAGTTTTTACGTCTGGTTTACAATAAAATGTCATCTGACAGCTTACCGTGCGTTACGCAATCGCTTTTCGGCGTTTAGCCTTCACGATTATTTGCACTATTGTGGAAAATTCCTGGCCCATTTCTTAATGAAAATCAATCGTACTATAATTTCAAGCCTTCAATATAGTCTTCTTACTTTGTGCGCGAGTTGGTCGGTGTGATTTCTGTACAGATTTTACCAACGTAATAAAAGTAGATGATGTGAATAACAGTGATGGTAAAGCAAGATTAAAACGGCAGAAGTCACCAGAAACTACAATAGATACACAGGGTATGAGTGAGTTTTGTTGATTTTACAAGAAAAATGTTCATATTTCGAAATATTTATCGTTGTAAATCGACCATATTTCGATCCCTATACTATTCCTTGTTTTGTTCTTCAGTCTCACTTATATAGGGTATATGCAGTTTGCTTTCAGATTTCAGATTTTGCTTCTTACTACGAGTGTACGTTTTTCAACTAAGACACTGGCATACTTGGCATACAAGGCATACAAGGCATTCAAGGATTTCATGACTTTCAAGCGTTCGCGACTCAATCCGTTCCAAAATTACCGCTCAATAACATCTTTTAGCGTGGACTGGCCGCGAACAATACAACTTGTATATGCCAAATGAATAAAGGGGTAAGTTTCTAAAGAAACTGTGGTGCTGCGTCGGTGGGAGAGTATAGCAGGTAATTTAGTGTCAACAACTGGGTTGAAAACGTAAATTAGCCACCGTAAAGGGTAAAAAAGCTGACGTTTCGAGCGTTAGCCCTTCGTCAGAGCGTCTAATCGCTCTGACGAAGGGCTAACGCTCGAAACGTCAGCTTTTTTACCCTTTACGGTGGCTAATTTACGTTTTCAACCCAGTTGTTGACACTAAATTACCTGCAACTTGTATATGCGTCTGTAAGTATTCTGAGCGTTTGCGCCATAATGCTCCAGGGGATCGTAATCCAAACACGTTGAAGTACAAAACGACTGACTAATGAGGTTTATGACAAAAAAAAATCTCGTGGTTTGTCATGTGACCCGGCTCTGTCCATGCATGACAACGTCAATCATCATCAAAATAACATGCGTGTCAGCATGTGAACACCTCATTGGATCACAGTTAAATGGTTAAGAATATATGAAAGTCATATATTTGAACTGCGGATAACGACGTGAATGAAAGTGAACTTCGCAGTAATGTGCACTACTTAGGCAGTAGTGTTTAGAACCAACTTCATGACCAGCTCCCAGTTGGCTTGTTAGCTCAGTTGGTAGAGCGCTGCACCGGTATCGCAGAGGTCATGGGTTCAAATCACGTACAGGCCTGAATTTTTTTCTCAGGCCTTATTTTCACTACTGCCTAAGTAGTGCACATTACTGCGAAGTTCACTTTCATCCACGGATCACAGTTAGTTGTCATGGTGTTGAGGGCCCAATGACCACTGGGTACTATTGCGCAATTTTTCCATTTTGTGGCGGAGGAAAAAAAAAAGACGACAGAAAAACAAAGGCATTTTATGACTGGGCTACCACAGGTATCCCAGTAATTAATATATTTGACACATCCAACAGGAACCTGATGGTTGTTTCCATAACTAGATTTTGAGTGACACTGGCAAAGATTCTACTTTTAGATTGTCCTTGCTTATACAGTGGTTCGCATTAGCGGAGGATTGAGTTATTGAGATTGGTGTCGAATTTCACTTAGTATCACATGATTTCGAGTGCAATTTGGAATAAATAACATGAGTAAATTTTTTTCAAAGACTAACAAAATTGCACGAGCCTGTAGAGCGAGTGCAATTTGTGGTCTTTGAAAAAATTAACAAGTAATGAAATAATTTACTCAAACCGTGCGTTCGGTCAAAACAACCGCGTAGGATCAAGACAATAATATACAATAATATTTTCACATTTTTAAGGCGCAAAAAAGTTCTAAGTCCGGCTAAACATTGTTCATTCTGTGGTCGAACCCTTTGAATCAAATAGAATCGTCGTTTTCGAGGTTTGACCATGTTTGTTTTTAATTTCGGCGTAGAATCGCTCAAGCAAAGTGCTGGGTCGGCTCGTAATTTTCAATTTCCTTGACAATTTCTCCCTCTAAACACCACTTTTTCCAAACCGACAACCAAAAAGCAGTGCTTTATACAATGTTTTCGTTGTTAGAGCTGTCTTTTAGCTGCTATATTGATGTTGCCGTGGCGAAAGATCCCACTTCTAACGACGGCTACTGTTTTGCTCGCAAATTAACCCTCTTCTGCATTGAATTACCTGAAAACTGCATTTATCTCAACCAATTGGAACTGAGAATTTTTTTTTTTGCATATTATTAATTATGTTAACAGTTATTAAGGAATCATGTTCTTATTATCGCCCAATCAAGTGATATTTGCTTTTTATTTCTAAGAAAGTTTGGTTTGGGAAGCTTAGCTAAATGTCTTGTGTCTTCATGTCATTGGAAATGTTGTTGTTCATTGTGGTTTACTAGATGAATAACCATTTAATCATTTGTCTCATGATGTATGAGTCAGGCTAATCAATCATGTATTGATCGTGACATTTTGACCACCAAACTGCAAATCTTTGGGCCTTTTCACACCAGTGACAAAGTCGTTTACTCACCAACATTTTGCAAATGCAGATGGCTGGTCTGGACTTGGTAAATTTTGGCTGATGCAGACAAATCTTCAAACGCACCACCCACAAAATTTGTCCCAGGTCCAAACTGGATGAAATCGACTGATTACCAAAAAAAGTGCTAACCTTGTCATTCATTCATCGTAAGAGCTGCGACCAGTGTGTAATTGAACTATAATAAGTTAAATAAAAAATAAAAAAAATTGTCTTTTCCTGCAAAACTTGGGGATTCTAAAATTTTAAAAAACTTAAGATAAACCCTGGAAATTGGAGGCAAAATCCTTCTTCAAACCATGCTGGTCAGTCTTATAAACCAATCAGGCACAAATGGAATTTGATGGCCTTTATATTTCTAGTGTGGATGCAACAGACTAAACAAAAATTTGTCATGACAAAATTATTCCTTTGATTTTTTGGGGACAATATTCTAGTTTTGTCTGTAGTGCAGAAAGGCCCTTTGTTAGATGATGTGGTCTAAAGTTTGGGTGTTACATTTTGAAGCACCTTGGTTTGTTATTGGTGTGTTATAGCATGCTGTCATCGGTGCATTTTGGTCCTCATTATTATTCCCTCTTCTGAGATGTTCCCTCAAAGGTCTCCTTTATTATGGTAGGCATCCATTTGTTAGGAATTTCAATTTAGGATGGCTTCTTTAACCCTACGAGAGTATTAGAGTCATAATCAGTAAACCTGACCTGGACCCAAACAGGAATCTATCCTTCTTCATTGTCCAGTTTTCATAAATGTTATCACGAATGTTTCAATCATGATTCAAGGTTGGAAGTGCCAATCAGCTTTGTTATAGTTATCCAGGTAAACTTCAGCCATGGGAAAGTAAAACTAGTTGGAGTTCATGGGGAGTTTGGGGTAACCGAGTTTGAGATAGCTGATGGCAAATGACTAGAAAAATGGGTCAAACCAAAGGGAAGTCACATCTTGTTTAAGTTCACAGGGGAGGTTCAAGATTATGGGCTTCTACTGTACCTTCAACAAATTCCATGCTTTTCAACATTTTTTCACAAACATTTTAAAGCAAAAAAAATACAAATAAGAGGTTTGTTTGTTGTAACAACACGGGGTTTGTGATAGCTAAAGGAAAGCGTAGCCAATGGACCATAATATAGTGGCTTGGGGCTTTCTGATAACCATAAACACATAAAGAGTTCAACAATGATAGTGAGAGTTAAAAGGTTGTCCAGCTTAAAGAGAGTTTAGCTAATACTATGTCAATATTTTTTAATTGAAGAAAACTGAACCTGTGTTCAGAAAAAATGTCTCTTTTAAGTTTTCATTTAATGAAAAAAGTATGAATTTGAGTAAAATGTTGGGAAGGTGAAATATTTTAAATGTTATCATTTTTTGTCATTTCTTTAAAGAGCACAGTACCAGTTGCAAACATATTCACTGGATTGCCTAAATTTTCATGTCACACTTTACACTTAGGAGACTGAGAAAGGTGAACATGCTGAAAAGATGTCATTACGTGTTCAAGAAAAATTGAAAAACACCTCAAGACAGATATAGATGCCACGCACAACAGCAACATTTATATAAAATAACACAATTTGCACAACAATGCTTGTATTTTTCTGTCTTGATTTTGCAAGGCTCAGAAAAATAATACAGAACTCCCAAATTCCATGCATATTGTATATTAACCCATTGAATAAAGTGTATTCATCTCCTATTCATGGCACTTTTGACCTCCTTGGTTTGAGTGTCAAGCACAGATACCAACTTCTGGAGAAAAATATGTTGAGGCCACAAAACCAATAAGTTGACAAAACAAGGTTGGCTTAAATTTCAAATAAAAAGTTAATACTACCCTCAGTGAAAAAATTAACTCAAAATTGTCTACTGATTTGTGAAGTATTTTAAACAAAGGTCATCTAGGACAAGATGCTGAAGTCAGACACAACTTATGTGTAAACATCAACCTTTTGATGCCTGATTGCAAATTATGAATAAGAATTACATAGTTCACCAAATACTACAATAAATAGTACAAAGAAATTAAGGCAACACACGAAAACCTCCCTAGTGTAATTTATTTCAAAACTTCATACATTACAGCAATGTTATATGTAGATGATGGGATTTTTTGTCACTGTAAAAAAGCTCTCATACACTACCAAATTAATGGACTCGATTTGATGTTAAACCTAGTTCTCTCGGTTCAGGTTCACATGAACCAAATTGGCTTTGATAAAACATTCTACCTGCATACAAAAATCGCGGAAACAACTACTAATTCGTATTGACAAAATTCATAACCATGTATGGAAACTATTCTTTTCAATGTCATCTACTTAAAAAATATATGAGAAAAGAATTTGACACTCTAACTTCTAAAATGCTTACATTATGGCTTCCTCTTCTTATTTTCCTGTATCAGCAAATTATACGGTTCACTCCTTATCTCCACACACATTTGCCACGACAAAGACGAATATGCCGTCTTAACCAAACTTGATCCCGCCACTTGGACGACATGTCCATCACCGTTAGAGAACAACACAACAACCTCGTTTACTCGAAGAACTTTTCTGTGTGGTTTTCATTCGTCTAACAATCTCAGTGAATACTTCGTCAACATTGGTATTGCTCTTCGCAGAGGTTTCGAAGTGTGGACAGCCCCATTCTTCCGCTAAAAGCTTCGCTTCGTTTGCAGATACTTCTCGTTCATCAAACATGTCACTTTTATTTCCAACAAGTATCAGTGGCACACTGTCTGCATTTTTCACACGCAGTATCTGATCCCTCATCGGCTTTAAATCAGTGAACGTTTGCCGGTTTAAAAGAGAATATATTAGAAGGAATCCTTGACCATTTTTGATGTACAAATCTCTCATTGAAGCGAACTGTTCAGTGCCAGCAGTGTCTAAAATTTCCAAGATGGAGGGATTGTGGTCAACGTCGATCTCCTTTCGATAGAAATCTTCAATAGTTGGGTCATATTTTTCAACAAATTGTCCCGTAACAAACTTCACTGTAAGTGCACTTTTTCCAACACCACCTGAACCCAAAACGACGACTTTGTATTCTTTCATGTTCATAGTCATACACAGGAGGATAAGAAGATATGGCAGCGACAGTTTGAAACCCAACAAATCCACCAGATAGAGGCTGTTCAAATGCACAACAGTCGCCCTTTAAAACGCTTCGGAAACTACGATTTTGTGACATTCATCGAATACTTACTGAATTGTCTCACAAAATTTACGTACTGCACTATGACGAACTTCCCACTCTCGCCGAGTATTGCTAGTCTGAATAATGCAGATCTGTATGGGCGTCGACGCTTCACCAATGGTTTCTGGGTAACGTAATTCACTCGAAGTCCTTCACGTTAGATGGCTATAGCGTGTAATTTTTTGTGAACTTAATGAATGCTAGTTTTGGGCACCGATGGCGCAAATTAGTGCTACAACGACCGATTTTTGACTGCAATTTTATCTCCTACAAATTTTTCCTAGCTTTACGGTAAGTTGACCATCTTAAGTCGTGGAAAATGCGTTGGGTTTCGCTCATGAGTAATGTCCGAGGAAGTGCCCCTTAGTCTTCTGAAGGCAGCTTTAGATACTCAATCCTCTTCACTAAAGAAGAGAGATACCCATGAGCAGATTAGTACTTCTTCTAATCTTTGTTGCTTCGCTTTTATATTATATTTTGTAGAGGAGACGTTGTTACCCAGTTGTAAAACAGATTTTACCTAGGCTGTAACACAGTTGTCTATTTGTTTTAGATACTAAAGAATTAAAAACAGTTTAATGATGACGTCATCTATACGTCTGTCCTCCAATAGATCATAAGTGAGAACCAATCAGAATGCGTGCATAACTGAGCTTATAATATAAATTAATAATAAAATGTTCAAAGAAATGTATGCGCCGTGATTGGTCAGAACGAGTTTTTATATTTCCATAAACCACGTGCCTTACGTCACACGAGTGCACTGTTGAGATATAATGCACGCAACCTACGTCATCGGTACGAGCGCACGCAATTCATGATACATTTTATGAAAGAAATAAAAAACTCTCTTCTCTCTTCTTCTCTCTTATTGATTAGTTTAACCTTAAAATATATATACACACGCACGCACACCTATTCATTCATTTTTTATTTTTCGCATTTTTCTTGTCAGCATCTTGTTTAAAGGAAACTAAATCTTTCCCTTGGATTCGGGTTTTAAACGGGAAGGGACGGGGAGAAGAGGTTCAGGCAACCGCGCCTTTCTCTTCAAATGTGGGAGGGCGAGAACATTGAAACTTGGCCGTGGAAGATCTTGCGTGGGTGGGTGCGTGCGAGTGTTTGTTGGCGGGGGGGGGGGGGGGGGGGGGGGGGGG